GCAGCCCCCCGGCCCAGTGCCGCCAAAGATGCACTCATTTGGGGGCTGCTGCAGGTGGTATGGGCTTCCCTGATGCGCAGAACCCTCCGTGCCTGATGCTTTTGAAGGTGGCAGTTTTGTGTCTGACGTTCCCTGCACACCTGAAGAAAAAAGCATTAAAGTACCGTCAAATGGAGTAAGGTAATAGCCGAGGAGACAAAGCCTCCTTTCATGCCCTGATCCCTTCTGTCCCTTTTTAATAAACAAGTGCTCTTCCCCTGCAGTGGTTTCCAGGAGGAGTCAGTTTAATCTCCAAAAAAGTGGCTTATTCAGGTTTATTTTCAAAGCTGATCCTAAAGTATCTGCACTCCCAAAGCCTTGCTGCCCACCCCCTGTAATATGGAAGGGATCTGAGATAATTAATTAGCTGCAGAGGATTTCATATTTGTTGTCACACTGGATTCTGCACTGAGCAAGAGCCGCCATGGTGCCACCTCACTGGAGGTGGCTCAGAGGCAGCGTTCAGCCCTGTGCAAGGACACACAGCCATGCCCACACCGCAGTGGTGACCAAGGGAAAGGGACAGCCCCACCCCAGCAGCTTCACCACCTCAGGTAAACCCCCAAAGTGGTGAGGCAGGCCGTGGAGCCAGCAGGCAGAGCAGGAGAGCAGATGGTAGGATCAGGGTTTGCTCTCCATATAACATAATGCAGCCAGAATCACTAGGGAAAAAATGGAAAGAGAGTGGGGATGCTGCACTCAGGCACAGGGCGCAGCAGGGTTCAGGGAGCATTCCTTGTGTGCATTTTGGACATGCGGACAGCACAAAGCTGTAGGGCCAGGGAGGCACCGACTGGGACATGGCCAGTGGATGGCTCTGCATGCCTGGAGAAGAACACAGGTGGAGGGAGAGAAGGGCAGAAGTGCTTCTCATGGCAGGGAGGACAGGATGCTTCAGGAGGCCACCTAGCTTCTCTCTGCTTTTGACACACATCTCTGTGGAAATGCCCCATACCGTAATGCTTTGTCCAGACAGCAGCACGGCCCCTGCCTGTGGGAGTAGGAAATACCAGATGCAATTGTTTGATCCAGACCCCACTCTGCCCTGCACCTCATGGAAGAGATGGTTGAATGCCCAGGCATTTGATCCCCGTCTCTTTCTTCTTCACTGGCTGTAATCCCAATGGGACCACAGTGGTTCTACAGATAAAGGAAATTCAGCACAAGAGACCTGTGAGGCCTATGGGGCAGTTTTTAAAAGTGAGGTTTTTCTGCATCTGGGGCATTTTGGAGACTGGGACATATGGCTTTATGAAAAGGTACTGCACATGCATCCTTACAGCAGTATTTTTCCTGGTTGTTGTGAAGACGACCAGCCACCATCTCCAGAGATGCTTGCCATTCTGTTATCATTTGAGAAACAATTTAGGATTAAATTCTTTCCTCGCTTCTTCTGGAAAATCATGCTCTTCTAGAAATCCTCAGGCATTTTGACTTATGACATGAATAAGGCAAGGCCTTGGGTGTAGGCACCAACACAATCTCAACTGTGGTTCTGACAGGATGAAGCCTGAATAATACTCCCATCCCTGTTTTTCTCTGTCTGCATCACCAGCTATCACATCTTGGTGCCCTCTTCGGCTCCTCATTTTGTCTCAGAGGCAGATTTCTCCAGCTTCATCACCACGGTTGTTAGCTGTCATCATCTCTGCTTAGTCTTAAGGCTGGCACATTTCTTTCAGATTTTCATTCTGCTTATGGTCAAAATTGTGGCATACATAAAAATACTTGCCAGCTGCCTCTCTCTACTGCAAAATCCACTGCCTCTTTCAGTAAAGAGGTTCTGTGTCTGTCATCAACCAGCGCCCAGACTTTTCTGCTCCACCTCAGTGCAACTTCTCTTTAAAGTTTGTGTCTCTGACTCATGCAGACCCCTTCTTTTCTGTTTTGTTTTTTTTTTGTGTGTGTTTTTTTTTTCTTCATCTTTCCTATTTTCCCTTTGTCAGCCAGAAAAATCCGTTTGTTCTGCATTCAGGCACAAACTGGGATCCCCCATGAAGAGCCACAGTTTCAGAACACAACTGTTTCATCCTCCCAGCTGCTTTAATTTCATCAAAGCCCATCTGTCCCCTACCTTGCTGCTGCAAAACCCCCATCATGTTTGCTACCCTAAAAGACAGAGGGAACATCCGAGCTCAGCACAGGTTCCACCTCTCCTGCCACATCCCAAACCCTGCTACTTCTCAGGGATGTTTGCGGAGCAAAGCACTGCCCTGGGCTCTGTCCCCCTCTGCAAAAGGAGCTTCTGGCACAAAGATCCCAGCTCAGTGACAGATGCCACAGAACACAGCATCCCAAGGGCAAAATCCTTCCCTGTCTCAGGGAACCCTGCAGATCCTCTGCCAGATGTTGACCCCAACAGCATAGGCAGGCGGGTTGCATATCCTCAACATCTTACACATTAATTGAAATTAATTGTTAATTGTTCCAGCAGATCCACTGTGCGTAAATCCTGTCAAAGACAGGGGGCTTTTGGTGGAATGAGGAACAGACCATGGAAGGCTCTTCCACTCCACGCCTCTCTGTGTGAGCTGGTGTTGGCCTGCACAGGGCTGTGCTCAGCTCTTTCCTGCTTCAGGCAAGCCTCAGAAGCATGCATGCATTGCAAGCATGTCCCTCCATCTCCCCACCCTTCTCCCAGCACGAGGTCTGTCTAAGTCCCCTATATTTACCCTATAGCTCTGATGGTGAAAAGGCAGCAGGCTCTGGAGATACTCACCCACACCCCAGCCCCTTAAGGGAACAGCTTTCTCCCCTGTAACAGTCAGATGTTTTACAGAGGCTTGGAAACATGCCTGAACACCAAATCCATTGGTGTCCATTTTTTTCGCACCTCAAGCTCTCCTTTGCAAGAATTCAGACTACTCATCCTGGGACAGTCATGAAATCCATGGTAGAAAGACTTACTTCTCTCTCGGCACATAGCTAGCAATCAAAGGGAGAAAGACCCTACAAAAGTGAAGAACTAGCCAGTTTCTTGCTCATGATAGAAAAGCTATCAGGGTTACCTCCAGCCCTTTTATGGCATATTAACCTAGGAACAAAGAAGAAAAAAGACACACATCTTTCAAGGAAATGTGTGCCTCTTTTATCTGCTGCCCTCCCCAGGAAACTCATTCTCTCCTTGTCCACCCACATAAGCAGAAATGATGAATGGAAATAAAATATAAAGTTTAGCCATTCTCTTTAATCCTAGACTTCCCAATCGGATGATTTGGTCCATGCTTTGGTATCCAAATTTTGCACGCCAGTCATTCTGACCATTGTCCATGTGGCCTTGGCTCACAGTGCCTTTCAAATGCCTTTGTGTGTTAGATGCATACACCATACCCAAAGCATTTAGCAGCAGCCCAGCCGTGAAGGGCTGCACACTCCTCAAGGCAGAGGGGAGCCTGCCACAGAAAAGCCACTGCCACATCACTTCTCCCACACTGGAGTGCATTTTTTGGCTGTTTCTGCAGCCCTCAGCCTCCAGGCCATCAGCCACAAGTATCAGTGCAAGAGCCTGCTCCATCCCAGATATTCCCAAGGACTGGATCTCTCTCTGTCTGCCCTGACTGTTCTCACTTTCCTTTTCTCTGCAGACCCCCCTTACGCTCACCTCAGTGTTAAACAACTGTTGCAGTTAGGCCATTACATCAGGTACCTCTGCACACCTCTGAGTTCCCAAGACCTGTGGCAAACCAAGCTGTGTCATGGCTCCTTTGGCCTGGGAATCCTAATTGGTAAGAGAAAATTGAGCCATTGCCTGTCTTTAGTTCCAGAAGGTTTTAGAAAATCCATCATCAAAGTTGAACTGAAGAATTGAAAATAGCACTTCTTAAAGTCCATTTGTGTGTTCCTACACGCATCTCCTGGCCACGTCAGCCAGCATCTGAAAGAAACATAAGGAATTATTAAGAAGACAAACAATTAAAAGAAAAATCTCCAAATCACCATTAAAAGTGAGTTAAGATTTTTGTCAGAAATGCAGCTGTTCTTGTCACCTTTGTCAGAGAATGCTGCTTTTGAGTGCCAGAGCCTAGGAGCTCTGCAGCTGCCATGCAAACACAGGGAGCTGGGCTGAGGCCGGGGGTGCGGGTGAAGGGCTGGACGCCATCCAGGCAGCAGGTCTGGGTCTGAAAGAGAAGAGGGATGGCTCACTCTGTTGCAGTGAGCTGGGGGTCGGCCTTTTATCTCGTGCGACTGGTGATAGGACGGGAGGGAATGGCTTCAAGCTGCGCCAGGGGAGATTCAGGCTGGATGTTAGGAAATGCTACTTCTCTGAAAGAGTGGTCAGGCACTGGAATGGGCTGCCCAGGGAATCACCGACCCTGGGGGTGTTCAAGGAACATTTGGACGTTGTGTTGAGGGATGTGGTTTAGTGAGAACTATTGGTGATAGGTGGATGGTTGGACTGGGTGATCCTGTGAGTCTTTTCCAACCTTGGTGATTCCATGATTCTATGATTCTAAGGTTAAAGTGAAAGTGTGGTCATGAGGTGATGCTGGTGAGTTGGAAACTGAGGCCTCCACTGAAAGTCTGGTGAAAGCATTTGCATTCAAACAAGCTTCCTGCACTGCAAAATGTGTCACAGAGGTGACCTGGGCAGCTCAGAACCTCTGGCTGAGAGCAGAGGGTTGTGACCAGATTCAGGAAAATGTTTCTGCCCTCCTACTTTTACCTGTTTCGTGTATTTCCATGTAAAAATACACTGGACGCTATATACCTTGTCACATGTAGGGGAAATACAGAGAAGGACTTGAGTGCCACTGGAATAAGAGAGACAGATAAGGATCCTGTCTGACTGTGCCTTCGATTCCTTGTTTATACGTTGTCTGCTACCGTTTAAGAGAGCACCTTTGGATGACTTCAGGTCAGGAGGTTCAGGAGACCATTTCTGCAACAAGAAGTTAATGCTGACAGGCACCCCATGGCTGGAGAACACCCTCAATATAGCAGAATTGGCACCTTGTTTAATGGATTCATATAAATAGGAAGGCAAAGCCAGGAGCTGAGGCAGCATTTAAGCCCTGTACTGTGAGGTACAGAGGCCTTACGGCGAGATTAAATATAGGTCTCACAAACCAGAACAACAGTGTTTTTACCAAGAAGATAATCAAGCCCTGGAGGAAATTACATGATGTAAAGCTCAAATTTAAAATAAATGTGAAATGAGTTGGTGGATTTGGGACCAGTTCCTTATGGAAAAGTTTTCGCATCAGAAAAACCACTGACGACACTGGCTTTTCAATTAGCAGTTTTGGAATAAAGCCAAGAGGACTGAAGGGATGGTGGAGACTCAGTCCTCATCTTGCCCTTTGCAAGGAGGGCTGGGGGCAATGAAGGGCCGGGATTAGGAGAGGGCTGGGCTGTGCACATGCTGCATGTTGGAAGCAGGAGGCTCTGAAGATGAGACCTGGGTGTTCCCATTGCAACTCCCCATGGGCACGCATTTTCCTAGGAAGATCCTGTACCTCTGAGAACAACATGGCAGTGAGTGCTGAATCAAAACGAGAAAACAACAAGCCAGGCAGGGACGCGGGCTGTGATTGCACAGAGGGAACAGCCTGTGCAGCATTTGGCTGACGCCAAGTCAAGGAGATGGGTGTGGGATGAAGGCCCTGTCCTGAGCCAGCTGCTGCAAACATCTGCCCTGGCTGAATTGTCTGTTGCCCTTGCATGACTTTCTTTTAGTCTACTTTGTCACTAAGCATTTTTAGTGGATGACTCGAAATGGTCCCACATCCCTTGGTCCCTATGAACTGCTCGCTGCACTGCTGTTGCTCTGCCAGCTCCCCAGTCCCACCTCCTCCCTGCAGGACAGGTTTCAGTGGAGCTTAGGGTTCTTGCATGCTGATGTCTCATCATGTACCTACACGTGCCCCCTGGGACCAGCCCTCTGAGGGCTATAGGCAATTGGTAACAAGTTCCTAAATACAAAATCTCCCTTGTGTGACACTCGGCAAGAGAGGCTGGAGCCTAACACAGGGGCATGACACAGCCACTGTCCTCACCAAGCACTCCTGCAGCCAGTTCAAAGGATACTAATTAAAAAATACAGACTGAGGTTTTTTTTTCCTTCTCCTCCAGATTTCTTTTCTTTCTTCATATCAGATTGTAATCCTGTACTTTGTGGTTTAACTGTGTTCTTACATCTCCTTTTCCCAGTGAGTTAATGCAAATGATTTTGTGCCAAGGCAGATCTGTGCTAAGCTTGACAGCAAAACACACGGCTCAAGAGGCACACGCGCTCCCACTTCCCTCGGGAGTGATGGGTTGAATCAGCCCCCTAAACCCCTCCAAGCATCGTTTCAATTTTCAGCTCAGTTTTCATCTCCCCCCCCCTCCTTGCCAAGCCCGCACAAGAGCGGTGGGAGGTTACAAACAGAGCACGCAGCTCATCTGCGGCATCTCGCCGGTGTGAGCCATGGGCGCGCGCATGCGCACACAGCCTCCCTCCACAGGCGCTCCACGGCTCTGCCGTCGTCACGGGTCTTTCCCGGTCTGCAGCTCCCTCCTCAGCTCTGCCCTGAGCGCCTCCCGGCTGGTGCTGGGGACGCCGGCAGCAGCACACGTGTCTGAGCTGAGATTAACCCTGCAAAGCCAGGGACAAGGATTGCTATTTCCTCATCCAAAATTCATCACCTGGAAAGGCTGCCAGGCCAATTCTGCAAAACAAAGGCTTCGGTGGGAATCTCTGCTCTTTGCAGAAGCGGTGAGGTACAGAGCTCACCCCGGCTTACCTGAGCCACCGGTGGCCGCCCTCAGCGCTTGCTCGGTCCCGTCACAAAATGGCATCACACATTCAGGTGGGGTGGCTCAGGAACACGGGGGCTGGCCGGAAGGATGAAGGAATGTCATTTCATTTCGTCTGGAGAAGGGGAGGCCGAGGGCTGAGTTAACGGCGGTCTAAACAACCACCCGGAGGGCACGGAGAGAGAAACTCCTCCTCGAATATAACGGGAGACAAAGGCCCCGTCCTGCAGCTCGGCACAGCCGGCCCGACAGCCGGGAAACGCTCCTTCCGCGAGGCGGCCCGGCCCTGGAGAGGCCCCGCAGCGCCTCCACCAGCGGGCTCAACGCGCACGAGCGCGAGGTGCGGCCTCCCCGCGAGGCGCCACCGTGCGGGGCGGGGCGCTTCGGCCGCGGCTCCTGCTGTCCGGCGCTGAGCGCGGCCGCGTTCCGACCTCTGGGCCCGCACCGCCGCGAGCGCGGCTCGGCCCCGACCCGAGGCCTCCGCGGCGGCCCGCCCGCGCCCGCCCGTCCCCGCCAGGTGGCAGCAGCGGCCGCGCCGAGCCCCGCGCCGGCCGTAGGCCCGGCCGCTCCCGCGGGACCCTGCGGAGGGGCCGCGCTGCGCCGGGCGCTCCGCCGTCGCTGAGAGCCGAGCGGGCTGCTCGGAGCGCCGTCCTAATGAGAGAGAATAAAAGGAGACAAGCGGCTCGTGCGTAAAGCCGAAGTCCCTCGCGTGCTCCCCGTGTTTGTGCGGGTGGATTTTCCCACGGTCAAAGCAGATCCGGCCCCCCGTTCTACTCGGCAGGGCCGCGCCGAGCCCCCCGCCCTGCCGGCTCCCGGCCGGGCTCAGCAGAAGCCGGGCGCGCCGCAGCCCGCGGGCTGTGTGCCGGAGCGATCACGGAACCTCTCCCGTCTCGTAAAGCCTTCTGATAGGAGGGGGTGTTTCCGACATCGCGGCCCCTGACCTGCTCCGTTCAAACCTTGCAGGGTCGGAGCACCGCGTCTTGCTGCCCGTACAGCCCTGCGGGATTTGCAGAGTGAAGCAGTTCATTGAATGTGGTTACTGTGAGGCCGTTTGTGTCTGCTGCACACCTACGCTGGACTTTATCTCATCACACCAGGGCTGATCTGAGATTCCATTTTAGCGATTTTCTAAAACATTCCAGCCACCAGTATACTCAGCTGTAAACCAAAAAACCAGCATGGCTTCACTAAGGGCAGGACCTGCCTGATCAACCTAATGACCTTTCACGATGCCATAACTGCATCAGCAGACAAGGGAAGAGCCACTGATGTCAACTATCCAGATTTCAGAAAGGCCTTTAGTGCTGTCCCCCACAACATCTTTCTCTACAGATTGGAAAGGTATGGATTTGATGGGTGGACTGATCGATGGATGAAGCACAAGTTGTGAGATTGTACCCAGAGAGAAGTGGTCAATGGCTCCATGTCCGGGTGGAGACCAGGGACGAGTGGTGGCCCTTAGGGATCAGTGCTGGGACCGATGCTCTCCAGTGTCTTCATCAGTGACACCGATTGGGGTCAAATGCTCCCTGAGCTGTCTGCAGGTGACACCAAGCTGTGAAGGGACACACCGAGGGACGGGATGTCATTCAGAAAGACCCAGACTGAGCAGTGGGCCCAGGAGAATGTCGTGAGGTTCAACAAAGCCAAGCACACAGTCTGGCACCTGGACCGTGGCCACCACCGCTGTCGGTGCAAGCTGGGGGGTGACGGGATGGAGCACAGCCCTGCCAAAAAGGACTTGGGGTGCTGCTGGGTGGCAGCTGGACGTGAGCCAGCGCTGTGCCCTCGTAGCCCAGAGAGCAAACCGTACCCTGGGTGCACCCAAAGCGGCACGGCCAGCAGGGTGGTGAAGGGGATCTGCTCCTCTGCTCTGTGCCGTGAGACCTCACCTGGAGTGCTGCATCAGGACAGGGCGTGCTGAGCACAGGAGAGACGTGGAGCGGTTGGGGTGTGTGCAGAGGAGGGCCCAAAAATGCTCCCAGGGATGGCACAAATCCCTGTGAGGATGGGCTGAGAGAGCTGGGGCTGTGCAGATGGAGAAGGGAAGGCTCTGAGAGAGCTGGGAGAAGCCTTTCAGTATGCAAAAGAAGGGAGAAAGAAGGGGACAGACTCTTTACTAGGGTCTGTTGTGGTAGGAGAAGGGAAAACCATTGCAAACCGAAAAAGGGAAGATTTAGGTTGGATATAATGAAAAAGTTTTTTACAATAAGGACAGTGAAGCACTGGCACAGGGTATCCAGAGAGGTTCATCAGTGACCTGAATGAAGGAATAGAGTTCACTCTCAGCAAGTTTGCTGATGGTACAAAGCTGGGGGGAGTGGCTGACACAGCTGAAGGCTCTGCTGCCATTCGGCAAGACCTGGACAGACTGGAGAGCTGAGCAGGGAGGAACCTGACCAGGTTTAACAAGAGCAAGTATGGAGTCTTGCACCTGGGGAGGAATAACTGCATGCATCAGTACAGGCTGGGTGATGACCTGCTGAGGTGGAGCTTTGCTGAGAAGGTTGTTCTGGTGGTGTTCTGGTGGCCAACAGGTTGGCCATGAGCCAGTAGTGAGCCCCTGTGGCCAAGAAGGCCAGTGATATTCTGGGATGCATTAAAAACAATGTGGCCAGCAGGTCAAGGGAGATGATCCTCCTGCCCTATTCTGCCCTCATGAGGCTGCGTTTAGACTACTGTGCTCAGTTCTGGGTTCCCCAGTTCAAAAAAGACAGGATCTCCTAGAAGGAGTCCAGCAGAGGGTCACAAAGATGATGACAGCCTGGAGTATCTCCATAACGAGGAAAGGCTGAGTAGCCTGGGTCTGTTATCTGGGGAAGACTGAGGAGGGATCTGGTTAATATTCATAAAGGGAGATGGGAAGCAAATGGATGAAGCCAGGCTCTTCTCGTGTAACAATAGGACAAGGAGCTCTGCCCTAAAACTTGATCATAGAGAGTTCCATACAAACATGTGGAAGAACTTCTTCGCGGTAAGGGTAACTGAGCGCTGGAACAGGTTGCCCAAGAAGGCTGTAGAGTCTCCTCTCTGTGGATATTCAAGACCTGTCTGGACACCTACTTGTGTGACCAGTTGTAAGGAACCTGCTTTAGCAGGGGGTTGGACTCAATGATCTCTAGAGGTCTCTTCCAACCCCTGCAGTTCTGTGATTCTGTGATGGATGCCCCATCCCTGGAGACACCCAAGGGGTGGGACTCTGAGCATCTGATCGAGTTGCAGGTGTCTCTGTTCATGGCAGGGGAGTGGACTAGATGACCTTTAAGAGTCTGTTTCAATTCAAAGAATTCTATGATCCTGTGATTCTATGAAAAAAAAAAACAAACTATCCTCTGTATATGGACACACTGTGAGATGCTGAAATCACCCTAACGGTCCCTGGAGAGGGAGAAGAAAGACTCGTGCTGTGCCACGATTGTACTTCTCATTGGCTCCTGGTGCTTCCTGGTGGCAGGATTTAGTAGGGCTATGAATTTGCTATGGATTTGCTGTGCTTAGTGGGACTGGAAGATCCAAAGCATATAATATGGCCAACAGACATTGTTGGAGCCCATGCTTGATCCAAACATGCTTGTAGTGCTTGGTGAGCAGCCAGAGCAGAGAGCTGCTGTTACCCTTATGGAACTGATGCCCAGAAGTGTTCCTCTGTGTTACACCAGTACATCCCAGCACACGCCATCCTCTCTGATGGCTCTGTACCCCAATGAGACACATGGGAATTGTTTCATAAGATTGAAGCTGTTTCCCAGCAGACAACCAATCTGCACAGACCCTGCAGCCTCTCTTGCACTGTGCGAAACAAAGCATTGGAGGTGTCAGAACCTTTACGTGTTTTTTGCCACAGCATCTTGTGGAGACAAGTAAAGGAATGCTGCCTCTGTAGCTTATGGCCCGGGAGAGTCTAAATGTTACATTTCTTTAGGAAGATCCCAAAACTGGGGCAACATCCTCAAGCTTTTACCCTCTGCTGTGCCATGGTGAGTGGACATCCCAGGTTTCCAAAACCTAGCCTGGTCTCAGAGAGACCTGCCAGATCCCGGGGTCACAGCAGTGCTGCAGGAGGACATCCCAAAAGTGGATCTGAAAGAGACGAAGGCAAGCATTACATAATTAATAAATAAAAGGAACTATGTTAAAAAATTGAAGGGACTGTCATTTTCTTCCTACAGTGCAGTGTAACTTAATGCATCCCATGGGAAGCAACTTGTTCACAAGGAAAGGAGGACTTTTCTGTGCCCGTGCTGGCACACAGAACTGCCGCACTCAGCACAGGAACTGAGCCTCTTGTCGCCCCAGGGATTGCACGTATCAAGCCCTTGTGAATCAGAAGTGATCTTGCTACACTTGGGCAACCCCCCCTTGTCATGGCCCCTTTTCTTCTTGGTAAAGCCTCAAATGAGAAGCCGTGAGAAGCCAAGAGCCAAATGAGTTGGCTCTTCTCTTTCTGCAAGCCCAGAGATAGCTTGTAAATGGTGGTATTGCATCTAGCTCCCAGCAGTGGCAGTCACTCACCCTCTTGTAGGAGGACTGCAGAGCTGAATGCTGGCCTATATTTCCATCTGTCAACAAGGCTGGTGAGTACTGCAGCCTCTTCTTCTCTGGCAGCTGTGGTTTCTACCAGGAAAGGCCGTGGAGCATCCTCCAGAAAGGCTTTGCTTACCACCCTGTCCAGTCGCTGTGAACAACCAAAAATGAGATACCTTCATTGGTTACATCAATAGTTCAGAAGTCACAAGCTACAAATTCTTTTGTGCCAAAGCTCTCATGCTCTCCAAGCAGCCTGCCAGGCATTGCCCTTGGCAACTGCTCAATGAGGTTTGTTTGTAGTCAACCAAGCGCTTGCATTTCAGGGGATCCCACCAAATTCCTCTCCTGGTGGTTGTCGAACAGTCAGAGCTTCATCAACGCTGTGTGGAGCAGCATGCCCTGCATGAGTTCCCACTCAGCCTGGAGTCTTGCAGGCTTCCCACAGGTCCATATCCACCTCAGAGACCAGACTTGTGGAGAAGCTCATGGGACACACCATGTAGCTTAGAGAGCAAGATCAAGCCCAGGGCCAGTGTCAGATCCAGTGCCAGGAGCTGCAGCAAGTCTTCCTGCATGGCAGCTTAACACAAAAAACATAGAAAATGTTGGGCAGTGATGCTCAGAAATGCCAATAGACTGCTTCAGCTCCTAGTCCCTGTTGTGTCTCTGTTTCCTGCTGCCTTAACCAGGGGCCAGCACCTCCATGGCCATGGCCTGGCATTGCTCTGGGGAAGCCTCTCACAAAGCAATTGGAAGAACAAACGTGTGACTTAGGCACGTACCC